GTGATCGTCTGCTATCTGTACCGTAAGAGAGCAACATGAGCGCCGCATCTACCTCCGTCCCTCCGCCTCCTCCTCGCAAGCGGTTTACAGCAGAAGACAACATCTTTCTACTTCGGGAGGTGCTAGGCGCTACTCCTTTTTCACTCCAGCCTTTTGGAATGACGCAGCGTTGAAAAAGTACTTCTCGTTAAGAGGAGCGAAGGAACGGATTGACTTCCTCGTAAATAAAAATAGAGATTTGAGACGCACTGAAAGGTACGTCATTCCAAAAATATACACACTGTATGGAAAGAAAAACAGAAACATTCCTTCCTAATTTAACGAACTCCCAGAGTCCCTCATGAATATAGAATCCACTAGGGTACTAAAAAGGAAACTAAGGAATTGGTGTCAAGCATCTGAGCTGTAGATATCGTAGCCTAACCGTTGGAGATATTTCGTACTTTTATTTCATGGTTGCGTGAGTAGACTTGGCTATAAACACCTATATTTCATGCCCTAAGGTGTTCCTTTTTGTATTTATTTGTGCTGCTAATTTTGTGTTACTTTTTTTTTGTAACAACATGTATTCTAGTTGGTCGCCTGGCCCCACATACAAGCAGAATGCTGCTTTTGTGGGTCAGTTCTTTATTTTGTATGACTTGATCTTAAAATAAAAATTTAATTAAATTAAAAATTGAATTGAATTAGCTTTGTACAAGAAAAATGACCGCATCCACTTGAGAATGAGTATATTTTGGTTATTTTTGTATTTTCTTCGAAATTTAATATTTCTAGTTTTATTTGTCCATAGCTTTCTTAATACTCGATCCTGCATTGGGCCTCGAGGAAAAGAGACAGGATCGCTAGCAGAGGACTTCGAATGTTGATGATAAGCGTGCGCGAGCGTGTTCTTGTGCCAAATCGAGTTTGCTTTCGGCAACGTTTCAGCATATCAGGACGTGGTTGGTGTAAACATCATATTTGGTTGATGTAAAACACCAAAGCTTGCCCGCTGAGAACGCATGATTTATTAGAAAACAAGTTACCATGTACGGTCGAGGCATTATTTTATTCCCCAAGTATATAAATCTGGTAAACTGAAAGAAAAAAAAAACAAAATACGCTAGCACATCATTCATGGTATCCGCACATCATTCCTGGTATCACAACTTTTTTGTTTACTCAAAAGCTACGCCAAGTTGAACGTTCTATGCCTTGCCGCCAACAAGCGCCTTCTCTTAGTGTATCGGTGCTCGGTGGCACCCGAAAGAAATGCGACGGACTCCGTGTCATGGCAAACCAAAAAGAATGTTTATTCCCTCGTGCCCCTGCACAAATCACGGGCCCCACGGCACGCGCGTGCGTGCCTCGCTTATAGAAAGCGGGAAGTTCAAAAGAGACTCACGCCACACTTAGTGCGCAGACAGTCGTACAAAATCACTTTTTCTAAATTGCTTTCGCTGAATAGAGCCAACTACAAGTCATGGTCAAAAAGATCGAGCGCCATTGTTGTCGGAAAGCTCGTCTGCTTCTTAGCAGACGAACATTTTAGAACTTCGCTGTGCTAGTGGCGACACGCCGTGGTGCGCCAGGTTTTGTATTACGGAAGCGCATTCATTCCAGTAAAAAAACGAGACGAACTATAAGTAGGCATACAATATTTTAAGTTCTCTATATATTTAGGGTGCGATCTTTATTTACTTGAGTTTCTGCGATTTGTACAAACACACGCAAATTTGTCTTTTCTCGATGAGGCGGATGCAGGTTTCCGTTGCCAGGGGGCGCGACCTGTACCGATCCTCTGCTATCGTCTGCAAATACGGTTCCCCCAAAGCCGTTTCAAGGCACACGATCGGTCCACACGCCCGATCCAAGGTATCGATCGTTTTTGTTTATCGATCGTATTTTGTTCCGGTTCCCTAAAACTCTCTACTGTTAGCTATAATACGCCAGCGGCGACCGTCGCGCACCCCCAGCGCCGTATAGCAGGTGCCGTCCTAAACTCCGCGCATGGGCCGTGTGTCGGAATCGCTCTTCCCACCTGCGAGTACACCCTCGCTCTGTCGTCTGATAGGCGTAGAGCAGACGACGCTACAGCGTCGTATGCCAATGTTCGCTGAACAAGGTTTCGTGGGCTCCTATTTAGCCACAGATCGACTATCAGCCGTCTCAGCTCGTCTGATATTCTCGCCAGAACGAACTTGGGTCGAACTCATTCTAGGCAGGCAATGTTTACTGGGGAAGACTGCAGAGTCATTGTGTACGTTTCTTGTGTATTTTGTTTTGAAGCAGTCGTGCGCAATGCATGTTTCAACTGTACGCTCTCGCGAACCAGCATGAACACAGCAGGTGTGATTCAGAAATAGACCGTCAACTGCAAGTTTGCCCGAGAGGAACGAAGTAATCTACCGTGATGTATTCAATCAGTGGTGATGATTATTCTTAGTCAGCCGTACGAATATATCCCTCAGTCAGGAAACCAACCACAGCGTAAGAGGCGCCCACCAAACCGTGGGCGCCTCTTACGCACCTCTTGCATCGCGGTTCGCTGAACACTAAATCGTTTTCAGCGAACGTTAACAAGCACTGTGACGTTGTCTGCTCTGCGCCTAGCAGACAACAAAGCGAGGTTGTGCTCGCTATAGGGAAGAGCGAATCCCCCACAAGGCGCATGCGCGGGGTTCCGGACGGCGCCTGCCATGTGGAAGGAAGTTCAAAGAATGAAAAATATATGATCCTCGATCGGTACCGCCTGTGTAGCCTGCTATGCGGCACAGGGCGTACGGGACGGCTGCTGCTCGCGTGTAACAGCTAACAGAGTCCGCGATAGTAGTTCCCCTCAAACTTAACGCCGCCACTCAGTTTCGCAAATATTGATCTACTGCATGCTATCCAAAGATAAATTGATCACTGCAGCTGGTGGAATACCTTCACTGGTTGGGTTTTCATCGGAGACGCAAATCTTCACCAACTAATTCGATCGCTAGGTTCAGGAATAGCTTGAAACGTGAAGAAACCGGACCATCTCGTGGCGGCGTTAAGTTTGGGGCGCACCGTACGTCTAAAATTGCACTTGTTGCCTTTGCACGTAAGCGACGAGGCAGTTCGCCAAGCGCTCGAGCCGTATGGGAAGGTCACCGAGGGCACCCGTGATACTGGAGAGCGGAAGGATTCGCGGGGGTCCAGTCAAGCACGTGCCTGGTGAAGATGACTCAGGAGGAAGGTGTCACGAAAGACAACCTTCCCCACCAGTTACAAAAGCTTGGAGGCAAAGTCCTCGTCTTGGTTCCTGGCAGGGCCCACCTCTGCCTCCTCTGCAAGGGGATGGGCCACATGAGGAGGGACTGTCGAGCGACCCGGTACGAAAAGTGTAATCGCATCGGACACGAAAGCCAGGACTGCTCACGCACGTACGCAGCGGTCACTGAAGTTATCACGACGGATGCCAATGATTACGAGGAAGACGAAGAACAGGCCGAGGGGGCTGCGACGAGCGGCACACCTGGTACGCTTGTTCCCGTACCTTCGACGCGGTCCAAAGCAGCAGTAGCAAGTGAAGCACAGGCAAATATATAGTCCCTCCGGTTACACGCGAGAAGAGACCCTGCTTGTAGCCGGTGATATTTAGGGATATGTTCGGCCTAGAGTTACTGAATATTCCGAAAGCACCAAATTCCGTTCAGTCCTCTTACCGAAAATCAATCACCTCAGTATCCACTTCTGACTGGCTTGTTTAACACGTGGTGGAAGTCATCAGTCGGCCATTTTGGAGATAAGCCCAAAACAACGAAAAACGTATAAAAACGTGTTCGCATTACCACGGGTACGGTGGGTACCTACCGATGGAAGCTCTGGGCATCGATGAGTTAGGACCAAACAGAAGGTGCGTTGATTTTCTCGAGATTTTTTTTATAACAATTAGCCACTAATCTGGTTCGTTAAACACAAACTGCCGGCTTGTTTGTTCGCTCGGGGTGCGCTGGTGCTCCATTTCAAACTCTACGCGTCAGACTCTAAGCCTAAGACTCGACTTGGACGTGTTGCTAAGTGAGAGAGGGAGACGAGGCAGCGAGGAGCAAGTCACGCGCCACTCGGAACAACGGAAATAACCAATAAATCTAAACGAGTGTCGCCACAGGCCAGGAACGTGGTTTGAAGAACTCACGCGAGAACGAACGTTACACTGTACGCGCTTCGCTTCGACCGCGCAGGGCAGCGCCATGTTGGCGATCGCGACTGCTGCGCCGGGACTCGGTTCTGAAGCGAAGCTTGGGAGTTTTGGTACTCTGGGAACATTCAGTGTCTCTAGTTCCGCCATGAATGGGGATGCACATAGACGGAAGAACATAATTCTGGAGGGTGGGAGGTTTTGTTTAAAGCATTTTGTGCTTTAATAATTATATAGATATGCCAAGGTTTTCAGAAACGTAACTGTTTGTATCACGTCGGTCAGAGTGTTTGCTTTCAATTTCGTAGGAAAAGGGCACTCAATGTTTTATATGTGTTGTAGATGTCTTATTAAACCTTGAAGTCTTAGAAACAAGTACAACGTGTCACAACATATTTTTTTAATTAAAAGTTTGAAACGGCTGACAGAAAAACGAAAACATTTGCTGCACAATATTTTTTTCACTCGAATATCAATTGCAAAGTCGTCGACAAGTTCCACTCCCGGATCACTGCCGACATTTCACTGTCACATCACTCACACAGTGAAAAAAAGTGCTATTCAATTTGAAAAAAAAACAAAAAAAAAACATAAAAGGTTATTTAAAGGTTAAAAAAACATTGTACGCTCTATAGTCTGATAGTAATCTGTTGAAATGTGGGATAAATTTTATGTTACAGAGCTACCAGTTTTGAACGCAACATTTCGCTTCGTTTAATTATGCGTCTTATACCCCATTCACACGGTAACCTAAAGGTACCTGTAGCATAGGTCCCTATAGTAAAGGGAGATGGAGATCGTATTCACACGGGGCGTAAAGGTCCCTTTCGGTAAAGGTACCTTAGGAGTAAACGGAGCTTCCCGATCTCCGTTTGCAGCTACAGGGAGTAGCCTCGGACCCATAAATTCCAAATAAAAATTATCGTTTATGTTTTCTTGTCGTTTAATGCGTCGTTGGTACTAGAATCTTAGGAAGTCAAAGTTTTAAAATAGATGGGGACCACAGACGTGATACAATAGGAACAAAATGTTACTCCCGGTAACAGGTAGCGGCGGCGGCAACAGCGGCGGGAAGAGACGCAATGGCTGCTACCTCTGCTCCCACACGGAACGACGACGAGTCGCGCTCTTCGGCGCAGGAGATTTTTGTGACGATGCTTTCATCTGCGCATGAGCCATTGAACTGGGGTGCCAGCTCTAGCGGCACCAGCGAAAAGAAAAAAAAACGCGCGAGTGCACTGGTCCGAGTCAGAGACGTGGGCTCTCATTCGGCTATGGCAGGACAATTTGGCGGAACTTCGGCGGCACAGAAGAAACTCCGGCGTCTACGAGACGATCCGTGTAGGCCTGGAGAGACTGTCTATCGTCAAGACGCGCAAGCAAGTCAGCGATAAGATAGACAATCTGAACCAGACGTACAGGTGAGTCTGTTTTCAGAATGATGCTTATGTCCTGGGGCATGAGCGAATGACGTTGTAGCGAACAGCGACATTTGAGCGAATCGACGTTTTAGCGAGTAACGGGGGCGCGCGTTAACCCATCTGCCGCGCTGCGCTTACGCCTCTTCGCGGCGACAGTCTGCGGTGGCTCATTACAAAAATGTATACCATATTGGCCCACCAGAAAACGCCGCTTCGCGGCGTCCGACTATTCGCTAAAGTGTCATACGGTGAAACGTGGGCGTTCGCTAAAACGTCATTCGATCAAGTGAGTGCCTCCCGTTCTGGGTCGCGCTCGCAGAACTGTGCCAAACACGCTCTTTAGTGTTGCTAGGACGGCTTATATGTATCTAAATATAAGCCGGATATATATATATATATATATATATATATATATATATATATATATATATATATATATATATATATATATATATATATATATATATATATATATATATATATATATATATATATATATATATATATCCCAGTTTACGTCGTAACAAGACCTGGTAAGTTTTTTCTTGACGCGATACACTCAATGTTTTGATTAGAACTACCTTATTTAGCTGTGTTCTCGTCGTGCCGCCTTGGTGGCTCTGAGGCAAAATGAATTGTTATCTTTGTTCGGTTGGTTAGCTCTAGCTGGAGCTTTGAAGGGAGTTGACAATGAAAAAAATAATTGCCAACGCCCTGCTGCTATTCATTTGCACTGTAAAAAGAAAATGCAGACGAAAGATTGTATATAGGTGGCAACAAGCCCTTGTTGCTGAATAAATCGCATCACCCCTACATTATTTTCCTCCAGGGCTAAAAAGAAAAGCCTGACAACTGGGTCAGGAAAGGTCTCCTGGCCCTTTTACTACGATCTACACAGTTTCTTGGGGAGCCTGCCCGTCAACGACCCAAGTCTCGTGAATGACTCGCTCCCTGCGGATGTTGTTGAGGTATTTACTGATTTCGTATGCCTTGAATTATGACGAAGGCAGAGATGTGCGATTCAACCTTTTAATAAGCTTGGAGAGAATGGTTAACATAACGAGTTACTGATTCGTCGTTATAAGCTGGAATCGAAGCAACTGTTTAGTGTGCGGAAGCAGACGTGACATTTGGCATCACCAAAGAAATTTCATCTGTTTCCCGCGGCACGTAAAGACATGCTTGTGCTATTTCATGTGCACGGTGAAATCAATCATAAAAAACTCGATTTTCTGTAGCTTAATAATGCAAACTAAGCAAACATTAAGAAAACTCATTTGGGTGGAGCATACATAAATTGTGCCCCGCACCTGTGATAGTCATGTGCTGCCAGCTCTTTCAGTGGCACTTGTTAGGGTCTGTTTGTAAAAAGCCAGTGGGGCACGCCGAATACACGTGAAGCAGCTCTCCATCCGTCTTGGCAGCATAAACTGCTTAACTCCAATAACAATGTGGTTATTTCCAGTTCAGAAGAGCGTCGACAAAACTTAAAAAGTCAACTCTGATTTCTTTTCGGTGTCGAGAAAAGAATGCAGAGTAAGGAAAACGAGGGAAGCACACCTTCTACGAGGTGTAGTGCTCAAGGGTGACGGCAGCTGTAACGGCAACGATAATGGAACTGTTGCTAGTGGCGCTTTTGTTTGTTTTAGTTTCATACCCAAGTGTAAAATGCATGTTTTAGTTCTATTATTTCAGCTTCTCCTGGTCCTACACTGAAAGTTAGTATGCACCTTATTTTCGCCCGATTTGCTCTTTGATATATGCTGGTATAATGCGGTATGCATACATCATCAAGTGTAAACCTTTCTCATGAGCACCCATTGGTTTTTATCAGGAACCTGGAGACAGCCCTCACGAAGGGCCAGACGACGACAACGAGGTGGTGGACCTAAAGGAAGAACCCCTCGAGGAGCGGCCAAAAAAAAAAAAAGGAAGTCCTCCATGAAACAGGGGGATATTCTCATGCTGTTCATTGAGGAGCAGAGAAAACAAAGGAAAGAGCTTTCCGAAGCTAGGGAGTGGGCCCACCAAGACCGGCAACGGCAGTTTTTGATTATGGAAGAGTCAAACCAGGTCCAGCGGGATTTCCTGGATTTCATGAGGTCACGGAAGGAAAAATAAAAACGGAAACTCTGAGAAATATCCCTCTTTTTACTTGAGTTTGGATTGGAAGCGTTGAAGGGCTACATGCTTCTGTCATTTGAATCCAGATTCAAGATATTTTGCTCAGGATGGGACAAACGTCATAGCACTGGTATAAATCTGCAAGTTAGTAGGCACTGAAACGCAGGTGCAGCTACAAGGTAAACTAAATGCAAACATCAATGATATAGCAAGAACAAATAGCCAGTCTGCAATTTTAACTGTGCAGCTGCTTATTACAATTGTGGTGCGTGATTACTGGCACCTATGTAGAGCCTACACGTATATGTACGGTCAGCATGGAACGAACAGCGGATACACGGTTCTGTCCGATGCTGTCTCTTTTAAAAGAGGAACGCCTAAGTTTGAGATGCACCGGGTGTGTGACTAACATATCAAAACAAAAGCCGCACTCGCAACCTCTGTATGAAGCAGAAAGCGCAGAGTCTAGTGAAGACCATGCAGCCGCTGGTCGCGTTTTATTTCTAACCGACTGTACTGTGAAATCTCAATTGGTTGGGCTTTCATGCTTACTGTAGCAATGACCTGTATTTAAGTGGACAAAGCATGCTTTGCTGAAAAGAAATGAAAACTGCTGTGTCATGCGAGTGGTTAAGCCAGCTCAGAAAAGGAATATTTATTTCTTTTTCACTGCCTGGAATAGCAATGAGAATTCAATGTCACGTGGACAGATTAATGGCATGTAGTGCATATTGTAGGACTTTCTGTGGTCCAGAGATTGTACCCCACGAGAAATAAGAGTCCGCAAGTTTTCCCATTGCCCCGAGATGAATAAACAGTTTTGTATTATAGAATTTGATATATGTAGTCACTAACACTTTGTAAAGAATATAACATAAAAAAAGACCTTAAAGAATGGCTTCAGTGCCCCTTTAACCAATTAGTGTTCTGTAGCTTACTGTGCAAACGTCTCGGGTTTCAGTCGTGCTGAGAGGGCGAACGTCTGGGATTTAGCCGCGCTGAGAGGGCGGGTTCGCCTCGAAGTATGCAACGAGCGCATCCCGCACTGCATCGGCGCCATCTTCTGTGGCCTTGGTCCTGTGCATTGGCTGCTCGCGCTTTGCATTCTCTTCTATTTTCCTGGCCGCGTCGACCCACTGCTTCTCCGCCCCGTCGTTGAGCATCTCGCAGATATTGTGTAGGGTGCAGCAGGCTCTGACGACAGTGTTCACGTGGTCGATTCTCATTTCCATCCGCTTGAGGATGATGCGGAAGCGGGCCTTCAGACGACCAAACGCATTTTCGACCACGCGCCTGGCCTTAGAGAGGGCGTAGTTAAAGTCCCCTTTCCCTTGGGGGTGGTTGAGGCTGTGGGGGAATGGTTTCATCAAGTTCCTCGTCAGGGGAAAAGCCTGATCACACAGGACGAGGGGAGGTATCTCCGTGCCATCAATGAACCTTGGCACAGCAGTCTGGTTCTGCTCGAGCAGATGCGCCAGTGGGGAGCGCCGATAGACGCTCGCATCATGGCACCTCCCAGGGGTGCCCACGCTGATGTAGCGGAAGAGGTATCTATGGTCCACCAGGGCCAGGAGGATGACACTGTACCTAAAACAAAGTGACCACATGTGAGCAAGGAACAGCAAAAGCACCGCACACAACAAACATAGCTAAATTGCTTGCTACTGAATGTAAGTAGTGCTGTTTGTGAAATGGATCCTTGATGTGCCTCCCACCCACGGGCAGTTGGATTTGCTCACTCTGCAGGTGCTTTGGTGACATCATGGGTTTAACTTGGCTAGGGGCACAAAATAACGAAATAACAAAGGGAATGGTCTCTGGCGTGACTACACCCGTATTTATATCTGGTTTATAGCCTTGTGTGCAGCATAATTTAGTAGATGTACTTAATTTCTGACCCTGAAATTTTATAAAATAAGCAAAGTTGTCTGCAGGAAACGAGTATCAGTGTCTGCTTACCATCCTTTATAGTTGTGGTAGTCAACAGCCAAGTCCTTTGGTGGCGACACAGGCAGGTGGCAGCCGTCGAGAGCCCCGATGGCGTTGGGAAATCCCAGCACTGCCTTGAACTCGCGCATGTGGTTGTCGAGATCTTCGTTTCGGATCATTGTTATTGTGCGCGCCTCGAGCTCCTCAATGACGACGTCGCAAAATTCTCGGTACGTCTCATTGACGACCGACTGGCCAACGGCAAAGAGGTGGCCGATTGTTCGTTCCTCCACGGTGGAGCAGAGCCTGTACAGGCTGATGGCCACCCTCTTCTCCACCGTTATTGCCGTCTTCATGGCGGTGTCTTGCCGAAGCATTGACGGCCGGCAAACGTCCACAAGATACCGGAAAGTGGTCGAGGAGACGCGAAAACAAGCACGGAAATGCTGATCGCCCATTCTAGGCAGCGTCTCCTCAAACCACCTCCCCGACCGAACGTAGACCACCCGCTCGCGTGGGATCGTAGTCCACTTCTCCGCAAGGAGAGCGGCGACCGTAAAGTTTGTGGCCATGAGCTTCTCCTCCAGCTCATCCGCTTCCGTTTCCGCGGCTTGTATACGCTCCTCGAGCAGAAGGAACTGTGTCCGTTGTTGCTGCAGCGACCACATAATTCCCAGACACTCGTCGTCGTCCATCGGGAGACGCTGGTCGTGGTCGCGGCCCGTCACTTGAAGGGTGGTGGGTCTGTGACGGTTCTTCCGGGACCGAAGCAATCGAAGCGATAAACGCAGAAGAGAGAAAATCCGAGGAGCAGAAAGAAACGGTCACTAAACTTCGGTACCACGTGCTCGGATTCACAGTGCTCGGAAAATTGGCTCGGAACCGTCTCCAAAACAAACCGCCGGGCCAGTGTGGCCAGTCCAGCCTAATGACCAGCCGGATGTTCTAACGAAAAACTACTTTTTAGGTGAACATTGCGATAAAAGAAACATTACAATTATTACTTAGTATTTTAACGCAATGTGTCACATTTAATAATCTAAAAATGTGCCTCATGACTGTTTAGACACGGAAATATATAGTGTTTTTTTGCCCTGCGGTTTACCCGGGCTATCCCCAATGCAGTAAACATCGACCGTAAAGACTAGTTTTCGTAGACCGCGCTGCCCCCTCCGCTAAGCGTTCCGCAACGAAGAAGTTGCTGCTGCGCCTGCGCGCCGATAGCCTTGACTGTGGAGTTCCCGCTATCGTAGCGTGTTGCGGAGGGCCTTGCGGGACGGCGAAAACGACCTACGAAAACTCCCTATTTTCGTTCATTTACCGTGTGATTCCGAACGTCCTTTACCCCCAGGTACCTTTAGCAAAAAGACCTAAGTTATAGGTCCTTTAGGTGACCCGTGTGAACAGGGTATTACAGGGAATAGTATCGCTAACCCTGAAATTCGAATTAATGATGCTCTAGAATATGAACAGTGGCAAGACATCAACAAAGCATGTTTATAGCGTCACTTATAATGCGCAATTATGCAACCAAATCCGCGCGGAAAGGATGAAAAAAACAATAATGACAAGCAGCAGTAAACAAAACAATCCGTCACAGTTGAAAAGAAAGGAAATGGCCGAGTGTGCGAGGTAGTTGCACATTCGGGCTAACCTTTCTCAAATATGACAAGGAAACACGGCTTGTTGATACGACCGAGTAAGAATGAGGAGATTATTTTGTTTGAAGGATGACTATACAGTTCAATTAGATTATCTACCCATACCAGGCAATACCCTCTTCTTCAAGCTTTTAAAATTTATGTATACTTTTGACGTTATTTTGGTGAATACTTAACTTTTGAGAATAACGTTATTTTATTAGAGAGCCCAACTCTCTTCAACGCCGTGTGTCGTTTTTGTTGCTGTCAAATAGCGACAACAGTACACAAAACGGGCGTGCGTCGTATGAGCTGTGCGAGCAAGTCTCAAGACTCTCTTAGCCTGATCCTCACTTTGTCTTATCGTCACTGCACCTGCGTCGAATGGATACAGTGGATGAAGTAAAGCAAAAAGGTTTTATTGCAGTTTGAAGCCTTCAATATGAAATTTATCATAAATTCAAATACGTAAAGCACTAAATTCGTGATTAGTTGTCGCGAATTATTTCTGAAAGCGGCGGATCCTCACAATCTAACGTGTCTTACCATACTTCGAGTAAAAGATAGAAAGCGATTTTTGAAAAGAAAAAAAAAAAACATTCCTGATTAGGCTTAAATCAGGGTCATGTAAACGAAATGGCGTGGGGTATTAAAAAGAGAAATTTAGAAATTTTTTATCTCAATTGTCACAGCTGTTTGTGCTATTGATCCTACAAATCTGAGGCGCGTTATGCTAGCAACTTAAACCAGAAACTGACAACTTTCACAAACATACTTGTAGCATTGCCAAGTGAAAATAATTTGTTTCGTTAACAAATTAGTCGCACCTTAAACAGGTTTCTATGTTACGTTACATGTTTATTTTTACCATGTAAAACACTGAAAATTTATGAAAAATCAAAAAGGAACTCTGAGTCATCTAGAGCAGCGTTTTCTTTTATCCCAAAGTTTATAAAGGCTCTCCAATGGATGTACCTTCGCACATACCAACCAGAGCCTGGTGATCCAGAATACCCGTCCGTATGCCAAAGTTACTCGGCTTCAAGAGGAAGGAAATTACGTGTTCATGCAAGGATGGACACAGCCAGACAATACTACGTAAGTGTGTGGTAGGTTAATTGGTCTCGCAAGATCACCTCTAACATACACCGAAAGCTTCGATTAATTCCCTTCCTATTTTCTCATTCCCTCCCTTAATACACCTTGTGCGCTCTAACGAAGGTTCGCACCCATGCTTGCAG